ACCTTCAGGCATCTGGAAAGTGTACCCAAGGATGAACCAGACTTGTGGAGGTCCACAATGCTCTTCCTGATATCTTGGCTGATTTCTTTAGATTTTCCCAAGTTGTCAAAAGGAAGCAGTGTGTTTGAGGCGTGCCTTAAAATACATCCACAGGTGTTCCTTAAATTAACCAAATGTTGTCAATTAACCTATCAAAAGCCTTCAAAGCCATGACATCATCATTTGGGCTGTCCCAAATAGTCTGAAGGCACAGTAGTCTTAGTGTATGGAAACTTCTGACTGAAGGAAGTAATTAAAAATTATCTCTCTCATTATTCTGGTGTTTAGCAAATAGAAATCATGTTGGTAATCCTTACTGACCTAAAGCAGGAAAACTTTAGTCTGATTTAGAGTCAGACAGTGAGAAAAAAAAAAGTTTTTTTGGTCTTTTTATACAGCGTATGTAAACCTCTAGTTTCAACTGTACCTCCTCCACCATTACTGAGGTTGTGGTTGTTCATTTTCACTGGCTTTGCATTCTCCCTTGTCTCTTCTCCATCAAGTTACAGGAAGTTTGCAGCGAGTTGTACAGCTGCTCTACTTTCACTGCTTTCATGAGTCACACAATTTTATACACGTAGGAATTCTAGTGAACGTAAATATTTCAGAATGTATGTTTAGGGATGTAGACATACACAATGCTATGCAAAATTTTGGATACAGTGTGAAAATGTTGATTTTTGTCACTCAAACATGAAATATAGCAAACACTAACTGTCGTTCCTTTACAAATAAGTATACATGGTAGCTACAGTCATATTGCATTTAGTCAATAATGGTTTCATGGCTAAGTGTAGCTTCCTTGTTTGACAAAAAGAAAAAAAATAATCCCTCTAATATTTAGTCCCATGCCTCAGTGCAAGCTGTGCTATTTTGATCCAGCTCTCAGTCAGAATTGGTTCTCTCAAATGGGCCATGATACAGGCAATTACAGGAGTTTCTCATCCATATTTTTCAGATATGCAGAAGGCATGTAATCTCTCTCCCAACACCAAATAATCACTGAGAAAACAAAAGCTATTATCATTGCTGGGGCAAACAAATCAAAATCCTTGTAATGTTTTTCAGTATATAGCAAATTGTATGTTATATGGATACCTAATAATGTCAAAATGTAAAAACGTGCAAACTAGCTTTATATTTGTAATTTGTCCTGACTTGTTACTATATTCTACTGTATTTCTGCTGTCTAGAACACAGACTTTTTGAAGGTTATTCCTTTATTCATTCATTCATTCATTCATTCATTCATTCATTCATTCATTTAAAGTAGCAAGTATGATGGAGGTAATCAAATCTTCAAAACCGCTTTGTAATGAAGCTAAAGAACACTGACAGAGAGGATTTTCTCTGCTCCACCTCATGCTGACAGATTATTGAATAGCATAGCTGTTGTAGCTCTAGGACGGCTCATCTCAGTAATGAACGGACAGATCATGAAGACAGGTTACAAAGTGATGTGCTGTGGAGCTTGTTATAATTATGATCAGAGTTACGATATGGATGTGATAATGACTGTGATTATGCTGCTAATGTTTTAGCAAAACCACTGTTACAAGTTACAGCTGCCCATAGACCTCATCAGCTACTTACTGGTAATCACCGTGATTAGATTATCAAACAGTGGACCCCTGAGCACAAACATGTAAAAATGAAGACTGAGTTAGTTTGTGTCTCCCAGTGTGCATCTTGTTTCGTATCATATAGAGTTTGACCACAAAGAAACGCTTTATGATCACTGATATGTTCAATTTTTTTGTCTCATTTTGTGTCTCTGTGTTGACATCTTTTATCTCTTTATGATTGATTTTTTTGGTCTCATTTTGGTTATTTTGCACCTCTTTGTAGCCATTTTGTGTCTTTTTGAGTTAATCTTGGACCTCATTTTGTCAGTTTTGCCTTTTTAAGCATCACGTCAAATACATTTTGTATCTTAACTTGTACTTTTTATCTTTTTGTTGCATTTTGTCTCTTTTTGCTCAAGCTTTCCTCTTTTTGTAGCCATTCTGTGTCTCTTTGAGGTAATTTATTTAATGTTGTAAGTTTTGTGTCTCCTTGTGGCCATTTTGCATCACTTTATGGTTGTTTTTTTGTTTTTTTTTTTGAGTCACTATGGTCATTGACATTTCATTTTGATTATTTTGTGCCTCTTTTGTTGATTTTGCATCTCTTTTTGGAAATTCTATGTCTCTTTGAGGTAATTTTGTGGTTGTTTTGCATTATTTTCATATTACACCTGTGATATTTTGTGTCTTTGTGTCTTTCATCATTTTACATCTGTGCATCTAATTGAAGCCATTTCGTGCCACTTTGAGGTCACATTTTGATTGTTCTTTGTTACCATTCTGTTTCTCTTTAAGTTTTGATTTTTTGTTTTTTTTGTCCCCTTCTGGTCATTTGTGTGTCTCAAATTTGTCTCTTTGTGGACTTTTAACATCTCTTCATGGTTGTTTTTTAAGTCACTGTGGTCATTAACATTTAATTCAGATTGTTTTGTGCCTTGCTTTGGTTGTTTTGCACTTCTTTTTATTATTTCTGGGACATTTTATGCCTCATTTTGGACATTTAGTTGCCCTTGTGATAAAATTGTATCTCTTGTAGCCACTGTTTGTGTGTGTGTGTGTGTGTGTGTGTGTGTGTGTGTGTGTCATTGAGGTAGTTTAGTAAATAAGTAAAATTCATTTTTGAAGTGCTTTTCACAGGCAAAGGTCACAAAGTGCTTTACAAAGGCAATATGAATAATTATCATAATTGTACCATACTTTATTTTGTACCATATTATATTTTATTCTATTTACCTTTTTTTTAAAAATTCATTGTATCCACTATAGTGTGTGTATTGCTCTATCGTATTACACTTCTCAGCTCTTACTATTTATAGTTTATTTGTTCTCTTTTCTTCCTGTCACTTCTTTGCTCTTTCCTATATCTATACTGCTGCAACAATGTGAGTTTCCCCATTGGTAGTGAAAAATAAAGTGCAATCTAATCTAATCTAATGAAAATACAGGAAAACACAAAAGCGATAAAATTATTACCTAATTACCTAAACCATGGAGTTAAAAGTGCAAAAACTGCCCAATACCTTTTGGAAAATTCTACATTAGTACACAAAAATGAAGCAAATGCAGAGCTAGTGCATACAAGTTATTCAAATACCTGTCTAAACAGGTGTGTCCTTAGCTTGAAAACAACCAAAGACTTAGTAAGCCTCAGGCTACAGGCAGAGCATTCCGAAGTTTCGGTGCTACGGCCTCAAAAGGTTGGACAGCTCGTGTCTCAAGGCAAGTCCGAGGGACATACAGCACATTTAAGACCTTTGACCTGTTAGAGTGAGTTGACTGATATGGATGAAGTAGCTCAGCAATATGTTTAGCATTTCTTTTGTATCGCATCTGTGACATTTTGTATTTCAAACATTTCTGTGTCTAATGTTGCAATTTTTTTTTTGTCTCTTTATGGGCATTTTGCATCTCTTCATGATTGTTTTGTATCACTATGGTCACTGAAGTTCACATTTAATTTTAGTCATTGTGCACCTCATCATTTGTATCTCTTTGTCGAAAGTCATTGCCTCTTTGAGCTCATTTTGTGTCATATTTTGGTTGTTTTGCTTTTTTTTAAAAAATATCGTCTGGGACATTTTTTGTCTCATTTTGGTCATTTTGTAATCAAGTTGCATGATTTTGTAGCCATTCTCTGCCTCTTTTACATATGTTCATTTAAATCTCTTTTGCATTCAAAATTGACACTTTAAATAGCATGGTGGTTCCTGACATCTGCTGCTGTGTTGTGGTCATAAAGGGATGTTAATTAAAGACAGCTAGACTCCTGGATCTTCTCTGCCAAAGACTTTATCACACCTGTTAGATTACCAACAGACTTTTGACCAGAAGTTTTTGTGTTTATTGAATAAAAAGTCACGTGTATCCATTTAAAAAAATGTACTGTAACTCACTAATTCCAATATTTGCAAAAGGCTCCAGTAACATCACAGTACACTGTTTATTGATTTATTCAGTTTTATTTCAATCCTTTGGGTGGCAGCATTGGTTCACAAAACCACCAAAAAAGTTATGTATGGTGTTTTGAATGTCAGTTCTAAATAAGGTAGGGATAATGGATGAAGCTCGCACAGCTTTGCTTTGTACTCCCTGAAATTTGTCCAATAGGGAGCCGCATAGCTTTTTAACTTTATTTCCAAAAAGATATATACAAGATTCAACCACTATTCACAATTAACATGAACAGTCACATGGTTTTAGTGTTAGGTTCAGTTGACACTTGATATAATTTATGTGTTCTGACACAGATGGCTGTCTATAATGGCATCTGAGCTGTGTGATTACTTGAAAAATAAATCCATTAACAAAATAAATTGATTTCTCTTGCATGCTGCTCTGGGTATCTGTATATTAGATGAACTTTGTTGTTATCAGGAGGCATTTTAAGCTGTAAATTTCTTCTTTTATTGCAGAGATATTCCTGGGTGCAAGCTGATGATGTTTTCTCAGAAGAAGAGTCTGAAAATCTCATTATGCCGTGCAATAAACTCCACACACAGCAATCAAATGACAACAATAAGGTGTAAATAGCCGGATTTCCATTTTTTTCTCCCTATTTATGAATATTGATGACTCATAACGTCCCTAAAATACAAGGCTCCTACTGCTGTATGTACTTTAGATAAATTATGTTATGCAGGGTGTGATTTTGTGAATTATGTAATTGAGAAATTAGAACAATAATATCCCACCACATACGAAACACCCTCACACCGCAACACAGTGTTCTTCCTCCTTGAAGCCGTTCCGCTCTGTGATTGGTCTGAACGGAGGGGGGCGTTCCTGTAAACAAGCGTTTCAAGCGTTTTCATTGGCCGCTGTGACGCCACTCAAACTGTTGCCTGGCGATGTGCTCGCAGCTTGTCAACCGCACGATCCAGTGACTGTAGCTGCCTGCTGCAATGAAAATATCGTCGTTGGTGGGTGGATATATGGGCCCAGTTCCATCATTTTTTCCCCCAAAGAGTGACTGGGTGAGTAGTTTATTTTATCATTACTTAGATAAGACTCATAAGCTCTGAGTTTAACGTGAATAGGTTCAGTAAAAAGCTGAAAAACAGGCGCGCTTGAGGTTTGTTTTTAGCTAATTTGCCGTTTTTTCTGTGTTTTGTGTATCAGACAGAGCAGCAAGGGAACACAACTGGCTCAGTAACTAACTGAGTCCAGGCTAGAAAGGTGTTAACGTCAGGAAATTTGTGCTAAGTTGGTTTTAATGGAGTCGTATGTGTGACTTGTTGGATTTTTTTTCTCTCTCCCTGCTGGTCTGCATTGAAAATGTGGGAGCTACATTCATTCTGTGGGCAGTCGTAGCTAACACACACACACACACACACACACACACACACACACACACACACACACTCTCTCTCTATCTATCTCTCAGTCAGTTGAACGGACTGTACAGCACAGAGCTTCAGTTCCTATTAAAAACAAACGATTTGACAGCCACATTTCACCTTATTGCCTGTTTTTAGTTGCTGTTAAAGATATGAGTGATTTCCAGCAGGAAGCAACAGGACAAGTGCACATGAAATATTTACATAAACAGCAGTAATTTTCACATTTTTACAATCACAATGCAACATTTGATCAGAAATGTAAACCTATTTGCTTTGTTGTTATCCTCATTTTGTGCAGTTCCCACAATTGTGCTGTCACATTACCTCAAATGTCAGTGACGTTGTTTGCTGGATCCTTTATTTTTGCAAAATTCTCACCATCATGTGTGATTTTAATTATCACAGATCACAGATAGCAGTGCGTTGATCATGTGAAGAGGTTTAAAGCTCTGTTTTTTTTTTTTTTTAAATTCCACACACAGTCCATTACCACGCATGAGTCATTCTGTTGATAGAGACGAAATATATGATCCACAGCGATGCCCGGTGCATTCCTGATCATATTAGCCTTCTAGGTGTGGGCCTGGTGAGTAGTTGGCTAAAATCTGCCCCTGGAAAACAATAGGCTGCATGCCACCCCGCGTAGGTTGTGGACTGAAAAGATGAAGGAAGCACATTAACACGCTCAGGATTACAAACAACAGGCATTTTCTCTAAGGTCCAAAGTGTTTATCGTCCTCCTTAAGTTTGCCTACACTTGCTATCAGTTTGCTTGTACTGAAGGTTTGCTGCTGAGTAAGATAAGGGAGTAACAGACCACACAGCGATATTTAGCGTTCTGGGAGACGGAGTTTATTTTGGTGCCGAGGTTTTGCATAGTGATGAGCAGCTCCTGTGCCCACAGCACTGTATGAGACTGGGGAGTGTGAGTAGGCAAGTCCTTGAGCTTTCCAGCAAGGAGAGGATGAAATGGAGAAAGTGGTATCTGGAGTCTTATCTGATTCAATAAGAGTGTGTGGATACCAGAGGAGAGGCTTTGATCACATTAGGAATGTGTGTGATGCTGTTTCACTATCTTAAAAAGGTAGGAATGCTGGAAAGAGTTTTACTTTTTACAATAATTTCATAAGCTATAGTCAACAATTTTATGTACAAAGCATTAGAAAAGACACTTTTCTATTTACTTAATTTATGCCGAAGGGACACTGCACTGATTTCACACATTAGGGTCTATTTACTCAGAACGTGGAGTGCTACACAGCCTGTTAAAACAATCGTACAATGTCTTCTGTAGCTGTTGAGAAGAGCTGAGAAAATAACCCTGATGATATAATCAGGGTTATCTTGAGTAATGCTTAAGACTTCAATTATTCGACAGAAAGCCTGCGTTATAAACTGCAGGCATGGAGTTTGAAAAATGAGGGCATTTGACAGGCAAGGAAGGTCTAATAAAAGATGGTATTAAATTGCTTTATGGAACTTGTAGGAGTTTTTGGAGCTTGATTCTTAATAGGGACTAAAAGTCAGGATATCTCAACCCCTTTTTAATTTTTGTAGTCCACCTTTCGCAAGTCCCCCATCGTAATGGATGCCACAAAACAATCCTGCTGGAGGAGCCCTTTAGCTCGGGGAGTACCAGTTTAATGTTACTGAAGTGACCTTTCGTGAGCTTTCCTGCTGTAATTTCTCCTGAAAAAGGAAAAACAATCATGCTGGCAATTTGTGAACCCATTTTCACAACAAACAGTTTTGTTAGTATTTGCGGTATGTTCCATGTGATATTGACAGCACTAACCGATTTGCTTTTAAAGGTAAGTGGGAGTGTACTGTATCTATTTTAATTTGGTGCGATTGTTTTGTGCAGGTGAAGACAAGCAACTGAAGAAGGCATGTGGTGGATATTATGGCTTGCAGCAGGCGTACACTTCTCGAAAGACGACAGCTGGTCGCTTCGTGCCACCCTGTAGCCGGGGCCCCTGTGCCTGAGCTCCATGCACCTCATACAGCAAACCTTTTGACTTCATGAAGATCCCTGACATTGGTGATGTAATGAATAAATTTGAAGTCCTTGGGATTGTGGGTGAAGGTAGGAGTGCTCTTTACTTAAACTGTGACAATGTGAAAAGCCTTTTCTTTTTTACCCACTTTTAATCTGTGACAGTGATAACTAGTTCAGTTAAGCTTTCAGCCACAGCCTTTCATGCACACTTACAAATTTGTGGTAGAGCTTTTCAGTGAGCAATCATTTGATTGTTTTAAGCCAATTTGCCTGTGGAGCAAGGCCGTTAAAAGCCTGATCTGTACAACTCAGTAAAGTCAAGGATAATTCTTGTGTTTATTTATCAGACAGAATTTTAATGTGAAAAACTGAAGCTAGGTGCTGTGACCTGAATTCATACTCTTGTGTTGTTTGGGTAATTCAGCTTTATTGTAATAAATATGAATGGGTCATGGTGATTTGATAGTTAATTTCCCCTGAAATGCTTCTCCTGGCTTTTCTTTTGCCTTGAGCTACTTGCTTGATATAAAGTGGCAGCAGCCCTGAGGTGAGGCCACCCACTTGTCCCAGTTTTCACACCCGTACTCCCACATCCTAGAAGTTTTATAATGTGTGTATAATGTGTCGCTAAAAGACACAGGGAAACTTTGAGCTGGATTTTAAAGGCTGAGTGCCAGCCCAACGATGAGTCGCTCTGGAAGGAAGTCAGCACTTTTAGTGCCACATTAAACTGTAAAGTTGTAGAAGTTTTTCAGTCCACTCTCCACTTACCGCCTTTGCACTCATGGCGCAGTGCGCTCCACTTGATCCGGCAACATAGATTTTTCCTCACTGATCTTGAGGTCAGTCAATTTTGTTAATGATTTAAAACTAAGTGCTGCATGTGGGCTCATCCCTGCAATTAAAAATACACAGAATCTCATCATGAACCTCCAACTCCTTTTCTAAAGATGAATATGAAAGGGGGGGGGACTAGTTTTAGTGGTTTGGCATCTTTTAACGCATAACCTAAAAACAATTTTATTTTATTTTCGTTTTATCTTATGTTATTTTTGGGGGTTTTCCTGGCTCAGAATGGGCCTCTGGGGGGTGACTTCAGAAGACATGAAAGCATGATTGAGTAGAGTAAAGGCAGTTAGTCTGTGTTGCCTTATTTGAAAGAAATCTATGCATTTTCCTTTCGTTTCTGACCATTTGATAACAAAATTGTCTGTTATGCTTGAGTAAATGAAAACCAGGCTGCTGCAAAATATAAATCAGCAAAGATTATATGGCATGAAGTGGCACATGAAAAATACAAATTGTAGTTTCACAAGAAAAGACTTATGGAATGAATTATATTCCAACACTGTTTGGTGCGTTTTAGTACTCAAGGTGCAAGTAAATACCAAATATTTTTAATAGAAGAAGTTACATTAAATTCCAATTATCGTTTAAATGCTGTCCATGGTTGCTTTTTTTGTCTTTAAGGTTTCAATTTCTGTTAGGTTAGCTGTTTGCTTTAAGGATTCAGTGCTTTCTAGAAGCAAAAGAGCAGCAGCATCTACATACTCACTGTCATGAATTAATAAGTGTCTTCAAGTTGGTGGTTCTAGCTTCTCAGAATGAATGAAAACCAATGTCTTCTTCGACTGCATTTTTGAAAACAGTTACAATAATGTAAAGATAAATGAAATTCTTGTTGCTCACTATACAGGTCCAGTTTTAGGTCTATAAACTGTCTGAACTGTATTGGTATGGATGTGAATATCTTTAGGCAGGCCTTTGTAGACAGTAGATAACTTCTGTAGCACCGATGTGTATGAAGGAGCACTGAGCAGTTCGTCATATGCCTGCTCAGTCCAAGAATTCCTCTTGAACCCTCAGGGGATGTGTGTGTGACTGCCAGGGTCGATAACATCAGAACTACAGTAGCTTGCCAACACTTGCGTCCTACTTTCTGAACCACCTGTCCTTTTATAGGGGGGGATGTTTTTCTTTAAGTCATGTGAACATATATAAAGCATTAAAAAGCTGATATAAAATAATTTTCACTTTGAAGCAATGTGCTGAAATTAAAAAGGCCTCTGTAATTTCGTGACCTGTTAGCATTTGTTAGCATTTGTTGGCCATCTCTGTTTATGTAATAGTGAGAAACTATATAAAACAAGGTAGCCTTTGTTTATTTATGACCATACACCATGTTGATTCCGCATCAACATTTTCAAGCTGAATTTGTGCTGTCATTTATTATTATTTAATGAGAGTCTGGTTTCGAGTAAAGTAATTCTACTTGAGAGGAAAAAGCAGTTTGCAATGCATAAATAAATTTAGGTAATCATGCGGTTTGCTTCTATTTTAGGTGCCTATGGTGTTGTTCTGAAGTGCCGACACAAGGTAAGGTCAAATCCTTGTTTTGCTTTATTATGTTTTATGTAATGTATTTTCTACATGAACAAACTGTTGTAACAGAAAAGGTTTTAAAGGATAAAGGAAGTTGTAATCTCATGAAAAGACCAAAACTAACTAATAGTATGTGCGTAGCCAGAGATAGCTTATTCCTCTTTGATGTAGCGCTCCACTGTTTATGTGAAAACACATAAATGACTGTTTCACTGGGTAACATGTTTGTTCCTTACAATGAACAGGGCCACTGTAGTATATCCTGAGTCAATCTCACATACACTGCCCCGCTGCTGTAAATACTCACTACAGCACCAGTGTGGACTAATCCACGGCTGAGAATAGTCAGCCAGCAATTGCACAATTCACTTCTGTTAGAGTAACATTTGCTAAAAACAACAGCGCTAAGCTGTTTTTGTTCTTAAATATTTAAAATATCCTTCAGCTGTTTTCAAAGTATGTCCTTAGTAGAAGGAATGGCATTGGTACTGAAAGCTACCGAAAAGAGCTGCAATGATTATTCACTAATTTATCAGTTGACAACTATTAAATCAGTTACCAACTATATTGAGAATCGATTAATTGATTTGAAAAAAAAAAATTAAAGAAAAAAAAGACAAAGTTTTTCCAATTACAGCTTCTTAAAAGTGAATATTTTCTGGCTTCTCTCTCCTCTATAGCAGTACCCTGAATATCTTTGGATTGTGGAGCAAACGAGACATTTGTAATCTTTCGGAAACACTGATTGACATTTTCACACTTTTTCTAATATTTTGTAGACTGAGCAACTAAAGTATTAATTGAGAAAGTAAAAAACAGATTAATTGAAAATGAACATTATTATCAGTTGATTTAGGATTCAGGATTTAAGAGTTTTTATTTGTTACATGCTCCTACAGTATGGGCAGTGAAATGCAATGTGACTGTTTCACAAGGCTGTGCAATAACAACAAGACATGATCATCCAGCTTATCCCTTGAGTGTGATAGTTATAGGGTTCTGTTTGTTTGTCTAATAAAGACATCAAGGCGAGTTGACATTAGGTTTTGCTTGTTGGAGGTTAAGAAAGATTCTACAAAAGCCCAGAGAACGTCAGATCTAGACGGTGTTCTTGAGATGTGGTTTGTCTGAAGCAAGTGCTCTTCATGTACCTGGTCACTCCATTTTAGTTTGCAACAGTAGTCCCTTTGCCTTAGTATTTCAAACATGCAAAATTTTCCATTATTGTGAGAGCATCTAAATATGTTGGCTTTATGTGTGAATGAGCACCAGATTTACTTTTCTGTGAAAGTCATGACAGCAATCTTACGAGGCTGGACCTTGTATTATTTCCGTATTACTTTCAACCCAGCACGAGACTGAACTACACGTTGTCGCATGAACAGATTGGCACACACAAATAGCATAATTCAAGTTGTGTGCACTGATTTATGGAAGGATATTTTCACATTTCAGCACCAATATTGGGTCCAAAAACATCAGAAAACAAAAAATACACTGTTGCCAAAATCAATAAAACTGTCTCTTTCACTTTGCTTCACAATTTCTCATCTATTACAATCTGAAATGTCTATGCAAATAAAACTTTACTGCAATGATGACAGTCTGTAACAGGTCAGAAACCAGACTCCCTGAGAATGACTGTCATCCCAACTCTGACGAAACGTTCACAGGAGCTGAAATTTGGTTGTTGCTTCCAGCTGTTTGTAGGAGTCTTTCCTCTGAGTTTATTAAATGCCTGCAGCATCAAACAACAGCAGGATTCATCTGAGTATCTCCAAAGCCAGAGAGTTGCATAAATTATTGCACAATTATTGTAACTTCATCAATTAGGCTGCTTATAGTTGCATTTTTTTTCCCAACATGGAGACAGGATTGGTCAGGCTCTAGCAGAAGGTAACACTGTGTACTTTTCTCCACTACAGACAGATGAGCTGTCACACACAGTCACAGTTTATGGGCTACAGTTAAATTCTTGATATACTATCCAATCTCATGTGTATGATAAATCACTCTTGTGTACCATGGCTCTCTTTATCACTGTCGTGGGCATGTCTGAATGAAGCCGTGAGGAACATCAAAGTGATCTATGTCCGTAATACAAAATGCTGTCACTTTAACAAAATCATGAAGCCAAGCGTGTAACGTATCCCACATCCAGAAAAGGCCTTTACTAAGATGCTCCCATAGAGATAATTGGCTGTAGCCCCTTACTCTCTGATCGAGTTCATCACCGAATATTATTTGCTTTGAATGGCAACAAATTGGTCAGCTTAGATTCATCCTCTCCGCCATTGGTTTTCATTCATGTAAAAGTGTCTCTGTTAGATTTGTCTTGATGCAGTTAATTTTTAGCATAAGAATAAGGAAACCAAAACAAAAAAAAAGAAAATAGCAGGACTATGAAAAGCAGACGACCCACACTGCAGTAATAGCCTTGTCATCTCAGTCCATTTAAGGAAGAGGCTGTGCCAGGAATTGACAGCAATCCAGTATGAATAAGAGAGACTAACTGCCTCCTACTTACAGAGATCTGCAGGAAAGAGACAAAACACTTTCTCAGCCTTTCTAATCAAAATCCTTGATGTTTTTCTTGTTCTGCAATTGCTGTGCATCTGCCTCCATTACAGTGTTTATTGCAGCAATGATCTTACTCAGTGCATCCATTATTCTGGTTTCTAATGCCAGCGAGTTAGCCTAAGTGTAAGAAATGCAAAAGAAGAAAAAAAAACAAAAAACGGCAACACGGAGACTTGACGTTAAGCCAGCATTTAGAAGTCCGGAAAACAGAGGATAGCCCTGCTGTAAGCCGGAATCACAGTCTGTAATTACAGGGCTTTATTATTCGAACTGATTGATCACAGGCCTGGGCAGCTGCAAATGCCAATGTCTCCATTTAAAACAACTGAATTCACATCAATAAACCTCACTTAGGTCCACACAGCAGATGGAGGCTGCTCTCTTTATTCTGTTTTTATCTGCGAAAATCAATTGTCAACACAATTGCAGTATTCAATGTCTTAATTTTTTACTAACCCTTTTTTTTTTAGTTTATCAGAATTGTTTAGGCCAAAATTGTTGGCCAATATTTCATAATCACTGATATATCTGTATAGCAGATACACCAAATAGCCACAACATTAAAATCATCATTTTGTGTTACAAAAACAGCTCTAACCTGTCAAGAAATGGACACAGGACCACAGGGATTGTTGTGTGGTGTCTGGCACTGGGATTTTAGCAGAGCCTTTGGGTCCTGTGGGTTATGGGTAAGGACTCATGGATGTGGCTTGTTGTGGCTCATCCTGTAGATGCTTGATCTGATTGGGATCTGGGGAGTTTGGATTTGGGATCGACGCCTCGTGTTCTGTAACGTGCTCCTTGTGTTGTTCCTGAGCAGTTTTTGCAGCCTGCTGGGGAAGGCCGCTGCCATCTGGGAGGGCTGTTACCATGAGTGGGTGTGCTTGGTCTGCAACAATGTTTAGGTGGGTGGTACGTGTCAAAGTGACAGCCACACGAATGCCAGGACCCAAGGATTCCCAGCAGGACATTGCATTGTAATGAGATGATCAATGTTATTCGCTTTACCTGTCAGTGGTTTTAATGTTGTGGCTAAACGATGTACATGTGCTGTGTTTTGCCTGATAAATAATATGAAATTGCAACAGAAATACTAAAGAATTTAGAGAAAGCGCTGTTACATCATTTATTTTAAAGTGCCCAATTTGGTCACAGTTTTTTGAAAAACAAATGCAAGAATTTATATGTTGCATTTTAAATTTGCTACTAGGGGTCTTTAATTTGCCTCAAATATCTTTGTAGGGCTCCAGAGCCGAATTTATGCTTTTTAGATTCTTCTCTTTCCTTTAGCTTGTATAAGCTTTTATGTGCGTATAAAGAGCTTGCAAACAAATCCTGAAGTCCATGCTAAACAAGAGTTATTCTCTCTTACAGACGGCTCTGTACCTGCCTGAAACACCTAGTTTGAAGTCTAGACTTTTCTTCTGTTACTTATCTACGTCACCCTGTAACACATTTGCATAAAACCTGCCTTGTAGCTAGTTTGGCACACTCTCAAACAGAAAATGAGCACTGTCTTCACAGTTTGCAGTTATTTCCTCCCTAGGGTCACTTCTGTTAGGGGTTATAGATCTGGGGTTACAGTATATACCCAAAGTTACCTCACTTTCATTGAACTAGACAGGCGCTAAAACGGAGCGTTTCAGACAAAGGTTGAGAAGAGGTGCTGCAGCAATGTGCATGATGTGTTTTTCGAACATTAAAGTATGTAAATATATTCTAGTTAACCTCCAAAATAAAATGATTATCTGTTAATGTGATTATTATATTCTCTTTAAAATACATTACACTTGAATACTATATTTTTAGCATCTTTTTAAGAATATTTTTTGTTTAATGGTGCAAACTTCAAGTTAGGAAACAATGACTGACTGGCTGGTGAACATAGTGGAACATTTGGCAGCTAAAGATAAAATAATCTTACTGGGAGTTAGGGGAGCTCAGCTAAAGCAAATATTAAGCCTACAGTTTTTGGATGCTATGCCAACCTCAGCTGGATGTCTAAATAGGCAACATTTGTGAAATGTTTTCAGCTTGTACGCCACCCTAAACAATCAGTTAATGCAAAGTAATTTTGCAGTGCAATTGATGCCAACAAATTAGTAAAATATCAGTTATGTGGCATCACTTGCAAACTAAAAGAGAAAGATCATCATTGTTGGAAAGGGGATTGTTGAGTTTTATTTCCATGCTTAATATAAGTTCTTAAAAGCAAACAGGTTTGTCAAAATAACAGGTGAGTAGCATCTTTTCTTGATCCTGGAATATTTAATCATCCTAAAGGCTCTCAGAAATGAGCAAATATGTAAATTATCATTCCTCACTAATGTGCTGATTGCTGGTTTACTGCCTGCAATGTGGTGAGAGTGCTGTAGTTAAAAAAATATATATATTAAAGAGATCATTCACTAGCT